GTTATCTATACAGTCAGGGTACTGTGCTGTGCTCCTCTATTTGCTAGTTGGCAGCACTTATACACTCACCACCTGTCTCCTTTCCTGTTGTCAGCCTCTTGTATGTCCCTGCCAACCTTGGCAAACAGAGCCTATTCTTAGGTCCCTGGAATCCGAATGAGAATGCTATTACTTTTAAATCCAAAATGGTTGGCACTTGTAAAGATTTAAAATGGCTGTGCCCTCAGTCACTTTAAATATCCAAAATGGCCGTTGCTTGTAAACATTCAAAATGGCTGTGCCCTCGGTCACTTTAGATATCCAAAATGGCTGCACCCTCGATCACCTTAAATATCCAAAATTGCTGCTGCATGTAAACAATCAAAATGACTACACCCTCCAGACAGCAGAAAATCAACAGCTCAGGTTGTCTCCCTCCTTGCTGTTTCCCTTCCTAGTCATAGGCCACCAGAGCAGTTGTCCCTGCAGCTCTTGGTGGTTGGGACTGATCTTTAGGTCAGTTCTCAGGTGCCAGCACCACTTGGAAATATTCAGGCTGTTGGTCCCATCAGAGTAGCTGACAGTCCGCAGCTCCGAACATCTTTGTACTCACTGTTTCGTTCAGGTTTTTCCACTAGTTGGTGCCTAATCCACTTTTGTATTAGTTCGTTTCAAAGCTCAGGGCTCCAGGATTATCTCTGTGTCTCTGTCCCTTACGTTAGATTTCCATACACCTTATTTGCATAGCTCTATCCCCACAAAAGTACCATGTACCTTATTTACATTATTATTATTAGCAAGCTATCCAGTGACGTTGGTGGGCCGCAAACACTTCACACTTGCGTAGTCCGATCCAGTCATCTGGTCAGTGTCACAAAGATCATGACTAGAAAAGTTACACTACGTAATTCACCGCACCGCACAGACTTTTTTGTTTCCTTTTTCTTCCCCCCAATCTTGCTTTCCCATATAATTTTGTATGTATCTTATAGATATCTATCATCGATTTTTTTCTGAATCCTTTCAACTATTTTTAATGCTTTTCAGCCCTCTGTTGGGAGAATTTCCATTCTTCAGTTCTGATTTTCTTGATTAGAGTCTACAAATATCTATGAGTTGGCTTGGTTACTTTACAAGAATGCTTATTGTTGTAGAACCATATAATGCTGAAGTTCAGGAAGACTTATTAGGTCAGGTGGTTCAGATTTCTCATAGGTATCCCAGAGAAGGTGATACAGCTATTTAATGCCAGAATTTAAACAGAAAATCCCTGGTTCTTTCTCTACTATACTGGCAATCTAAGGGTAATAGGAATTATTTCATGATTCATCCAGTAGAACATGACCAAAATTTGCGTTGGTTAAAAGCAATATATCCCTTCTGTAGCAATGTAACTGAAAAATGTAAATGACCCCTTTAGCTCCTTAATGATTTTATAACTACCTGTTGTTCTACTTCTTAATTTATCCTAAACTTTTCTTTCCTGGTGCTGATATACAGTCTCTTTAAACAATTTCATTTTTATTTTTTCTTTCATTAATAACTAACTTTAATAGGACAATTTCCTCTGGGATAACACCCCTCCCAAAAAATAAAAACAATGTTTTTATTTATTTATTTATTTTCATGACAGTTACAATGTCAGTGAATACAGAACCACAATACTGTGCTGTGTTGAGAAGTGGGAGGTAGAGTAAACACATTCATAAACTAAGTGAGTCACTCCAACACACTTGCTTTCTGGTGTATAGAAGTCAAATGTCTACCTCAGTTAAGTAGCAAATTGTCACCTATCACAGACCTTCATTATAGATTATCAAAGATGTAGAGAATTTCTCTAAGAGAATCTTGGATTTGAATATGCCTATCTGTAATTGGAGCTCTGGTGGCTTAGAGGGTAAGACATATGGTTGCTAACCAGGTGAGCCATTCAAACCCACCAGCTGCTCCACAGGAGGAAAATGAGGCAGTGTACTTCAGTAAAGATTTACAGACTTGGAAACCCAATGGAGGTCACTATGGATTGAAATTAATTCAATGGCATTGGGTTTTTTTTTTTTTTTTTTTT